CCGACCCCCCCCCCCCCCCCCCTCTTTCTCTACCAATTCACTTCCTGTCAACTCTAAACTATCCTATCACAATAAAAAAAAAGACAATGAATTAGTTAGAAGTTTTTTTGCCTGTAAAAATACATGAATGTGACATTCATAGTCAAAACTAGGGCTGGGTAAAAAAATCTCGATATCTCGATATTAATCGATTCTCATTTTTACGGAACGATATCGATTCTTAAATCCCAAGAATCGATTAGTCTAGCCTGTTTTCAGTCAATGGATGGAACAGTGAAGGGCACTTCCCATCCAATATATCACAATAAGCATTGTGCGTTGGTACTTTTAATATGAAACAAAGTCTCAGATTTCAAATTCTGTCCATTGTATTGCAATATTCAAACAATAAATGCCATTTTGGCGCTGTTTAGTCTGGAGTGACAGATCGCTGTAGCGCCTCAGTTCAACAGACGCAGCAGCACGAGGAGCACGTGAACTGATCATCTCCTCCACATTAATACCGGCTTCGGCACAAAATAAACATGACTAAACATCCAAAGATAAGTTAAAAGAAAGAGTACAACTTTACAATCCGTATCCTGTCTCATGTAATCGCTCAATCAGTGTTTCAGCCGCGCAAAGACATCAATATAACGTCTTGTAAACAATGTCATGTAACGTCACATTTACCTTATGAACTCATTAGTCAGCTAGAAAAATAAACTGTAGAGAGGGGCCTTTTGCTAAATATATGCACCATATAACATATTCCTTATAAATTTTACTGTTCTTCAATGTTTAATTTATGTTTGAATAAATCCATCAAGTTTTTATGACAGCCACCATTATGTTTATATTTAAAAAAAACTAATTGAAGTAGAAATATTATTATGTAATTGTAACTTTATTATTTTAAAACTTAATTAAGCGTAATTTTAACAAATCAGTCCATTTTAACCTTCAGTATTATAGTAATGTAGTACAAAGTGGCTCTCAAGTATATTTTACAGCATTAGTTGAGAGAACTCAAATTTGGCATGTACTGTACCTGATATCTATCCAAAATAATCGATATTGAATCGAACCTAATTGGTAATCGAATCGAATCGAATCGCAAGCTTGCGAATGAGAATCGAATCGTGACATTTGTGCCCAAACCCAGCCCTAGTCAAAACCACCACCTACCTACCTACCTTATCGAATGCTGGATAGATGGCACGTAGTTCTGTTAACCAGCCGTAGGGCATGTGACCAACCGGATATGTTGCTGTGAGTACTGCTACCGCCTAGCAAACACACACAATTCTGTTAGAACAGGCTGCTGTGTGTTACTGTTGACTCTAGAACATATTAGCACCCATCAGTACTCACTTCGGTTGATGCAGCGCTGTCTTTGAGGTCTCGAGAGACAAACAGATTGACAATGGGCCTGCTGATGCGCTGAGTGGCCAAAATGAGGGCAAGTGGCCACCAGAAACTTAGCATCTTCCTTACAGTGGTGTCGCCCTGGAAGTGAACAAAAGTACTCTAAGTATAGGATGCAACTTTATGAATATTCTGTGAAAGTCTTCTTGATAATCATACCCCCTGTTCGATGCTGCTTGACTCAGGAATATTGTCGTGGACGTTACAGTAGTAGCCCAGTCCTACGATAGTGAACCGCACCAGCGCTCCCATGTACAGAGAGAGAATGGGAATGAGAAGAGGCTCTAAACATTCCAGGTTACTCTGGAGAAGAATCGCCACAAATGTTATCTGCAGGCAAACAGAAGAGTCAAGAATCAATTAAATATTGGGCAAGTTTAAGTACATGTTTAAACACATGACAAACATTCAAAAATATTTATGCATTCAATAGTTAAAAGAAAAGAGAGATACGCTGTTGCTGCTACATGCTATGCAAATCTGCAATGCAAAATGAGTGCTCAATATAGCCCTTCGGCAGGTAGCACATCTAAAATAAAAAGGGATTTGCATATACATGATGTGCCAAAAATTGTATAGATGTTAAACTATTTAATATTAGTTTAATTCAATCATGTTAGTTTAATAATATTTTAAATACAAAAATGTTTAAATGCATTAAAATATTTAAATGTCATGTGTTTTACAGTCGTGTTGTGCCTATATGACTATTTTCTTACAATAACTTATTTAAAAAAAATTAATGTTATATTTTCATTTTTACTTATTTATACTACCATTCAAAAGTTTGGTCAGTGCTTTTTTTGTTTAGAAATTAATACTTTTATTCAGCAAGATTACATTAAATTTGTGAATCAAAAAATCAAAAGTGACAGTAAAGACATTCATAATCTTACAAAATATTTGTTTTTGAAATAAATGCTGTTATTTTAAATGACTAGGCCTAAACTTATGTGATTTCTTTTGAGCTCTTTGTGAAACTAAACAAATGATTAAATTCAGTTGATTCATTTGAATAGTCAGATATTTTCTTTGCTGCAGGAGCAGAGTTTATTTCTGCATTGTAAATGCATTTCAATTTATTATATTTTTAATAACAACATCTCTTAATCTTCAGCAGAAAAGTGAACTGCGCTGACTCACAAACTCTGGATCAAATCCTGAGTTGACAAAGAATGTTTATATCAAGCGCTGTGAGCCTGCTGAACCTGAGCGAAACCAAGCTAGATTTGTTTGGTTTTGTCAAATCTAAACCTACTCTGAAACATGCATGCAACAGCCATTGTTGAGCATTAGATTTTTTTTCAAAAATCATACCGAACTCAAATGTTTGAACACTAGTGTGTATACCATTTGTCATTTTGCATTGTTTTGATACTATTGTTTATTTGAATCATATCTTTGTGGGCTATAAATATGGCAAATAAGGCAATTCGTTAGAAATAAGGCAATTTGCCCATTCAAGGTCAAAGACAATTACAGTGCAGGGAAGCAGTAATTTTCCTTTACTTGTTATAATAAATTTAATCAGAAGGCTAACTAAACATCAAGAAAGACACAACTAAGAATATTTCATTAACTCTGCTCAGTTGTAACATCACTTTATCTCTTGCTTCCTGCTTTTTCTCTGCCTCTTTGCTGATAAAAGACTTAACAAAGGTCTATCATTTGAATATCAGACAAAAATCTAACATTTTAAATGCAACACTTTTTTCCAATTGTAGCACAAGGGGAGATGACAGGAACTTAGCACGCAACAGTTTTATAGAGGGCTACCTGTGCAACAACATCAGAGATAGAGGCAGATCCCACTAGCAGGCTGTACTTGTGCTTGAGGAGGATGCCAGCATGAATCCACGCCTTTGGAGCAAAATTAAATCAGTACAAATGAAAAAAGTATGTACCATTCTACTTTTGACTATTTCTGCAGTATGCATACTGTGCACCGTAGGTGAATTGTCTGCATGCATGGAATACCACATGGAAACTAATTGCCAACAACGGCAGTATACAGAATATAGTGATCAAAAGTCTGAATACCGCAATGCAATGCACTCAATGTCATCCTCCATTTGCATTTTGTAATAACAAAAGTAATAGCCTATTAACTGCAATTTTTACACTTCTTGTTTGACTTGTTTTTACATAGCTCATACTCATTACTATTTCACATACTAACAGGCAAAACTGTACGTAAGCAAAGTATGCAACAAAAACTTTTCCAATATTCTTATCCAAAAGATGATCTTGAATCTCCTGTTAAAAGTTATATTATGAGGTTCATACTCACCATTGCATCTAACAATGGAAATACTGCGAGGTACAGGAATGCCTTTCTTGTCTTGCTTCCTACTGAATCATCCACATGGTGGAGCTTATTTATGATGTAGTAGCCCAGATCTGTGTAAGCTGGGGAAATGTGACAGTTTTTAAGAAAGGATTTCCATTGAAGAACCCTAGTAAACTAGAAATTGTATTCACAAGACTGACACACCTATTAGGATGTGGAGGATGATGGCAATGACCCCAGCCACAACCATACAGAGGACTGCCTTGGTTCTATCCTTCTTACTGTTGACAAACACGAGTCCCACATTTTTGAAGTCACTCATGGGTCCAGTAAAGAACTTCATAAGTGAGTATGCCAGACCATAGCTAGCCAACATCTCAACCCTGTCCTCTTTCACGGAAGCGATGCCCCTGTTTAGAGCCTGAAGCAGACATGAGAAAAGAAAGGGCATGTTTCATTGCTGTGTTTGTGTGTGTGTGTGTGTGTGTGTGTGTGTGTAAATATGCATGGCTCAAACAATTTAAGGAAACACCTAATGATCACAGTATAACACCAGGCAACTAAACAGGGATAGGAAGCAGAAGTAATTGTGAATCAGTTTTATCTTCTTTCGTGCAAGTGAAATTGACGACAGGTGCACTAGAGAGGCAACAGAAAGACAACAAAAAGGAAATGGTTTTGCAGGTGGTGGCCACAGACAACTGCCCACCCATTATCCTTCCTGACTGATTTGTCACTAGTTTTGTGTTTTGTTAGGGTCTTTGTGACTACTTATAGAATAAGGCAGCAGCTGCAACCAGTGATGTAGCAAGTCAGTCCTGGGCCCATATGCAAAAAATACAAATAAAATAAAACCTGTCTACTAGTTACAGCACAAAATAAACATGAATGAATATCAGGTATGTCGAAAAAAATCTGAACAATTTAATAAAATGATTGTCTCATGTAATTGATCAATCAATGTTTCGAAAAAACGTCAGTATAATAGCTTGTGAATTGTCATAACACTCATAACAGAAAGGCCAACAATGTAACTTTGCCAACATTGCTATTTTCATAAATCAGTTACCTGAGTTGAAGCCTACTTCAACTTTTTGAAAATTTTTATTGCTGTTTTTCATGTTGAATACATGTGAATAATGAAAGGCATATACATTTTTGCGGTGTAGAATTTTCACACTTTATTCATCATGCAATATATAACATTGCTTTCTTCTCGTAAAATATTAAAGGGGTCATCGGATGCAAAATTCCCTTTTACGTGTTGTTTGAACATAAATGTGTATAATGACAAAAATCCAACCAGTGTTTTTTTTTCTTTCACAAAAATCGTAACTCTTTCTCAGATCAAGCCATTCTCAGATTCCTGGCTGTGTGATGTCACACACACCCAAGCCGTTCCTACGACTGTTGATAGACACTGGTGTTTTAGAGTAGACCCGCCCTGAGTGAGCTGTCAACAGTCCACCATTGTTTCGACGCCAGAGCTGGAGTAGACAAGAATGTCTCCTAAGTGATTGAGGTGTTCTGTTGTTGGATGTAGTAATGAACATAGCAGTCGTCATTTACTCCTGTCATCTGAGCCGCTGAAGACGCAGTGGATTACTTTTGTTTTTGAAGGGAATGTGCCCCCTGATCTGCCCTTATGTGTTTATGTTCGTGCGAATCATTCGTGATCTAGCTTCACCTATAGAAGAAGTGAGTATAAGGTTTTTCTTATATAAATCTTTGCAAATCGTCTTTCCTAATAATGTGCTAGTTAGCAATTTCCATGGCTAAATGCAGTTAAAGTGTACAGTCTCAGAGAACTGCTTGTCACCCCACGGAAGAAAGGGGCGGGGTGAGCAGAGCTCATTAGCATTTAAAGGGACATGCACCGAAACGGGTCACTGTGAACAGAAATGTTTTTGACAAAGTAAAACCAAGCGACAACCTCCCGCTCTCTCTCGTGAAGCCAACACGGAAGTGACTTAAACTGTCATTCGTCAACTGGCCGGTAGAGGCTGGCTGCAAAAGGGAGTCAATCCCGTACACTCCCCATGTTAAAATGCCCAACTTTTCCCTCACCCACCCATTTCTCATCTCAGGATATAAATACAGCAACTGACACTTTAACTTCTTGTCAAGACGATATCTGTCTAGACAGGCCAGTGTATAATACCCCTTCTAACCTAAAAAGTTGCCCCATGTATCATCATCTTTACTGTATTTTTGCTGAGCAGTCTTTTGGGTGGCTCACCAATGTACTAGATTTATCAAATACAAAAAATTAAGTAGGCTTGACCTAAATGTTTCTGGGGAGAAGAATTTATTGAAGATGGTAGTGTAGCAGTTCTTCAATAGCGATGTTAGCATGTCTTCCTTCAAACAATTTTACCCTTGTATGAATCCTAACTTCTCCCAAAGTTCTGTCTGTGGGATATTATTTTATACCTGAAGACGTTTTACAAACGTTCTAAGAAGATCTACAAGATGTTCCTGGGGAATGCTGTTCCTTTGTTATTCTAATGGAATGGACCATTTGGTTCACACCTTTATAAACACAGTTACATTATTTCTTTCACAGAATGACCAACTGAATGTTAACCAATCAGGTTTCAGCAGCGGCCATTCAACTGAGACTGCTTTGCTGTTGATCAGTATAAACCTGCAGATTGCGAAAGCTGATTCCAAATCATCAGTTCTGGATCTCTCTGACACTGTGAATCATCAGATTATCCTGTCTGCCATCACAGGATCTGCACTCCACTGGTTTGAATCTTATCTCACAGGTAGGTCTTTTAGGGTTTCCTGGGGAGGAGAGGTATCCAAAGAACATCAGCTGGTCACAGGGTTTCCTCAGGGATCAGTTACTGGACCCCTCCTCTTCACCAAACACTACATCACTGGGATTCATTATACAAGCACATGGTTTCTCCTACCATTGCTATGCTGATGACACACAGCTCTATTATTCATTTCAACCAGACAATCCAATAGTAACTGCATGGATCTCAGGCTGCCTGGCAAACATCTCGCATGGATGAAGGAACAGCTGCAGCTCAACCTGGCAAAGACTAAGCTTCTCGTTTTCCCTGCCACTCCGACTCTACAGTGAGAGTTCATCAAAAATTATTCTTTGGTGACCAGCTGACCTTCAAGGACCATTCTGTAAAGACAGCTCGATCATGCAGGTTTGCATTGCACAACATCAGGAGGATCAGGCCCTTCCAAAGAGAGCATGCTGTACAACTTCTTGCCCAGGCCCTCCTACTTCCTCCTCACTCTTATGGATCTACATCCCCTCCAGAAGCTTGAGATCTGTAAGTAAGCGATGACTCATGGTAACATCACAGAGAGGCATTTTCATTCACCTTTCCTGGCTGGTGAAATGATAAGTAATTAACAGAACACACGGCACGTTATCTGACAGCAATGCTAATTTAATCCCATACCCAACCCATTTAACATAAAAACTGGGACCCGAAACACACCTGCATTAAATCTCCTACATGAGGTAGACAAAACTCATTTATTACAACTTGTAATAAAAAGAAATTGTGAATAGATTAAATAGAGAAAGCAAGCAAAGAGCGCTCCCTTTAATATAATCACTACAGCTGTCAATAAGTGGCAGCGCGATTGGCTACATTGCTCAGTTTGTACCGGACCGAGTCGAAATAGTCTTAGTTACTGGACCCGCAACCCGCCCATGCTTGTCACCATCCAGCCCGCACCCGCATCACACCCTACACATAAATATTATTCCACCCGTTACATCAAATATTTGCGATTCACCTGCATGTACCCACCCACATGCCGGACTCTGGTTTCCCCCTTGTGGACACTAACATAATAGACAACTCTGGCCCCAGAGAGTGATTGTAAATTAAGTTTACATGAAATATGTTTGAAATTTCATTCTGCATCTTCTGAGATTTCATTGAAATCCTTCTCATAAAGTCACTGAATTAACCATTAACTGTTAACTTGATTGCGTTGCCATCTGCGTGTTATGTTAGAGCGTTGTTGAGAGAGAAGAAAAAATTATTGGAAACACACTACCGCTTACCTGACTCCGCCTGAGAGGTAAGGAAAAATACACTTAACGGAGATGATTTTTTTTATATCTCTGAAACATATGAAAGTATTCTTTAGTATAGTAATAGATAGTATTCTAACAATCTTTTAATGTATTATTAAATAAAAAACTTAGTTGATTATCAAAGAAGGAAAAAATTAATAGCCATAATATGGACTTTTGTAAATGCTGTGCTACTGTGATGCTCAGATACTGTGATTTCCTTCTCACATTGCTGATTTCACCATTAACTCTTCACCTGAACAGTTTATGTTGCTGTATATGGTATCATTGTAACCCTTGACCATCAAAACATAGGGGTAGACATCACCTTTTCTGTGTTATCCTGTTTGGTTCAGGAGCTATGACACAAAATACATAATTTGGTTATGGCGGAAAGTAAAATGGTCGCAATGGCAACCACAAGGTGTTTTTGCGATGGCTCCATTTCTGCAAATGTTTAGGGCCACAAAATATACAACTGTACCAAGTTCCATGCTTTAATGAAAAAGTGAACATTATTTTCACATATCACCTGGACTACTATACGAGTAACACATATTGGGTATTCTATAGTCTTGGCTATAGCAGAGCAAGAACAAGACAAACAAAGAGACAACGAGTGCTGATAAAAATACACTCACACGTTAGTTACATAATACTAATCCTTACCCCGTCTAACTCCTCACTCAAACACACACACACCAGTACTTAATAAGACTGTCACTTTCCTGAAACTAAATGACATAAACCTAGACACATGTTAAACTTCAATGTGTACAACAGACTAAAAGAGCAAATATAAAACACTGCCTGAAACTACTGTATTTATCAAACCCAACTTGGTTGAGCTTTGTAAATGAACTTGATGAACCATCCTTTGATTACTAACCATTCAGTGCATATCTGAGGTATGTCCTGATAGCATAAAAATATAATCTATTACTGAAAGCCCGGGCCATCCTTACAAATTTCAGAGATTATCTTCTCAGTGAAACTTTCAGTTAAATATGGCCCATTGTGAATTGTTTTATGATGAGTGCATTATGACGAGCATCTAGTTGTGGCATACATATTCAAACAACAAAGACATAACAGAGCTCCTAACATGCCTTTTCACATATTTCCCTGTTGGTTTAACAGTAGTGACATTGTGCAAGGACAGTTTGTGCCATTTATGGAACTGACAACAGGTTCAAAAGAGATGTTATCACATGGTTAACTGTGGTATGAAAAGTATAAACATTACACATAATGTATGTACATCTATGCATGTACCATTTCTGTGCACTACCGGTTTTATTTTTCCTTTGGAATTAATGCATGTAAAAAACACTCATTTTAAAGATAAAGGTAGGTCTTGACCCCATATTTCACATAGGAAATCTACTGTAACTGTTTTTTATTCTAAGCAGATGTGTTTGGAAGTTTCCTCTGACTCAATAACCAGTTTGTAACCTGTAATTTAGACTTTGTTTTAAAGGGGTCCTATTGTGCTCTTTTACAAAGTCTTGATTTTGTTTTGGGGGTGTACTAGAACAGGCTCTCGTACTAGGTTGTTCGAAAAACACATTATTTTTCACATATTTTACTCAGGGGAATACTCATACTGTACATTGAGCTTTGTAACTTTGCAGATCTTTTTTATGCTCAAACAGCAACATTACAGACTAACTAAAGTTGAAAAAGTGAAAAAGCATAATAGGACCCCTTTAAGAAAGAGTTGCAGTCTTGGCAGAATGTTATGCAAGGGGAATACTCATAAACACATAGATGACATCTTCGAGAACTGACTTAAAACCCATTGCATTTTGGGAAATTCAATCAATAATTAAAAGCAATTGCTTATCCATGCAGAAGACACCAGAGATGGAACATAGTTTTATTTGCAGCGATGCCTGATAAAAGGCATCTTGACAACAAATTCTCAGAATTTGGCTGACACTTCAAAGCAAAATGCACTTAGGGGAGGCCGGGGCTAGCTGTCACACTTTGAAACAAGTGCATATTTCTCAGGGTATGGTTTCTTAAGTCTATACAGATACACACCTTTTAATCTGAATCTGCAAATACACTCAACTATTGAACATGTCCACTATTAGTGCCAGGAAAAAGACCAATAGACTTGAAGCCCATTGCATTCTGGGAATTGGCAATAGATTGTCACAATGTAACTTGCCGGTAAACCACGTAAGCTTTTCAGCTAAATTATGAAGGACAAAACAATTCACAAAATAATACAAATGTAGAAGGTAACATAAAAAAACACCAAACCACAACAAAACAATTAACCAACTTTTAAAATCTACCATTTCCTTGCTCAAGGGAACAAGGGCGCGTTACGGATCAACGCTAGTAGGATGTGAACCTATAACCTTTAGATTAGTAGCTCACCACTACGCCACCCTAAGATTAATAATCAATACTAACCCAACATTACTGGACTCAACCTGACATTCATGCATCTAAACAAGCCCAAAGTGTATATTTACAAACATTTCACAGGTGTTCGCGCCTTAAAAAGCCATTGCATGTCAAAATCGCAGTGTACAGGTCAGGGGCGGATCTAGTGAATTGGGGGCCCCAGGCAAAATGTAGAAATGGGGCCCTATACATTTGCACACATTTACCTAGAACAACCTTGAGGTTCCTTTTTTGTTGTGATGCTGCTGCTTAATGGTGCCCCATAGTTGGGTCCAATGTTTCTACATTTTTCATCTACATGTTATAATGGCTTTCTTTCATGTTTTAGACCACAAAATAGCAATTGATTAATAGTTGAGATACAGGTTTTCACAAAAACTAAATAAATTATAAATTGAGAAACCTCACAATTGAGCCTTTAAACCATTTTTTTAAGAAATGGGATGAGTCAGAAGTTTAAATTATTATATTGATTAAAAACGGGCTTATGTGGGTGGATTTTCGAATTGGTCTGAACAAAAACTGCAGATGGGATTATTGAAAATGTACATTCATTCTCTACCAGCAGGAGGCGCTTTCCTTTTGGAGCGGCAGAAATATAGCGTTTTCCCCGGTAACGGCTGTAAGCAAAGCAGCACTGCGTTCATAAAAGCTGCTTTATCAAATCAAATGAAAATGCCAGCGAAACCTTTCTGAAGACAGTCGGTTCCCTACAGAGATTCATTCATATAAAAAGTTCACTGATGAGTTACCAGCGGTAGCCTGTGTGCCTGGGCTCATACACTTTCCAAAGGCTGTCTAATTCTAAACTTTAAAATACATTTATTTGTAGTTATTTTAACTACACATTTAAATGAAACTGAAAAAAGTTCCCCCCAAGGATTATATCAACCAAAAAAAGTACTTATCTATCTATCTATCTATCTATCTATCTATCTATCTATCTATCTATCTATCTATCTATCTATCTATCTATCTATCTATCTATCTATCTATCTATCTATCATTCTGTCATTCTATCTATCATTCTATCATTCTGTCTATTGTTTTATGCATTGTTCTGTCTGTCTGAAAGTTACCCAAAAATTCTAGTCTGCCAGTGCATCATGGTATTACCATGGCGCATGTCCAAACAAACATGGTAGTATATGGTACTTTTTTTCTGCTAGTAATCTCTCTCTCTTTTTCTCTCTCTCACACTCTTTCGCTTTCTCATTTCTCTTTCTCTCTCGGTCTGACACACATTCACAGCATCTACTGTAAGAGCTGATGACATGTTGATGGAATGAATGTGTTACAAATATGTAGCAGATAAATATCCGCTGACTCCATGTCTTCCAGAAGGCCTGTTTCTGCTCCAGCGCCTCCACACCTGGGTAACTGCTCTACAGCCAACATGATATGATTATTAGATCAGTTTACTGTCTGTGTGTTTGTGCCTCATTTAAACATACACCTGCTCCTGTGATCAATTTATAATTGATTTCTTCACATTCAAATCACAGCTGAACAAATCTGAAAACCGGGCAGATGGCATACAATACTAGCCTACATATAAAAAACAAAGCATTTTTGTTATTACATTATTTATTATTTTTGTAATTATTTTATTGAGAGAGAAAGTACATGGAGTATTTGAAAAATATTTTGTGACAGTGCAGAACTTCTGGACAAGATTTGCTGTAAACAGGGGCAGATTATGGTGAATTGGGGGCCCCAGGCAAAATGTAGAACTATACATTTATACATTTGCACACATTTACCTAGAACAACCTTGAGGTTCCTTTTTTGTTGTGATGCTGCTGCTTAATGTAGTTGTGTCGTTGTGTCCAATGTTTCTAAATTTTTCATCTACATGTTATAATGGCTTTCTTTCGCGTTTTAGACCACAAAATAGCAGTTGATTAATAGTTGAGATACAGGTTTTCACAAAAACAAAATAAATTATAAAATGATAGGGATGAGTCAGAAGTTTAAATTATTATATTGATTAAAAACGGGGTTATGTGGGTGGATTTTCGAATTGGTCTGAACAAAAACTGCAGATGGGATTATTGAAAATGCACATTCATTCTCTGCCAGCAGGAGGCGCTTTTGGAGCGGCAGAAATATAGCGTTTTCCCCGGTAACGGCTGTAAGCAAAGCAGCACTGCGTTCATAAAAGCTGCTTTATCAAATCAAATGAAAATGCCAGCGAAACCTTTCTGAAGACAGTCGGTTCCCTACAGAGATTCATTCATATAAAAAGTTCACTGATGAGTTACCAGCGGTAGCCTGTGTGCCTGGGCTCATACACTTTCCAAAGGCTGTCTAATTCTAAACTTTAAAATACATTTATTTGTAGTTATTTTAACTACACATTTAAATGAAACTGAAAAAAGTTCCCCCCAAGGATTATATCAACCAAAAAAAGTAACTGTATGCATCCTCTACTTGGGTCCTTCTCATAAATGTGTAAGTGGCATTTAAAACGATAAACATATAATACTCACTGTTGCTCAATAATCAATTACAGCCTCAGATGCATGATATTTTCATTTGCTACAAGCAGTATACACTAGAAGCACATTCAACTCACACACGCAGACATTTGTCATGGTAATAAAAACCGTGAACAGCAACCGTTCACATGTCCGCGCTTAATGCACATCTTGAATATGAAAAGCATTTTAGGGGGCCCTTGGCTTTTAGGGGCCCAATGCGGTCGCCTACCTTTGCCTAATGGGTAAGTCCGCCTCTGGTACAGGTTCAAAGGCATCATATCTCACCTGTTCTCCGAAGTCGATGGCTATATTTGTAATGGCTAGCGGCAGCAGAAAGCGAATAAGAGGCCAGTACGCATTGCGTGATAGACAGTCCATCATGACAATAATATTTAAGGCATTCGTCCGTGAAGAGTCGCTTTATGGTTTGCGGCTTTCAGCTGCCTGTAGTGAAACTGGACAAACTGGAGACATTGTCATTCCCAGCGCTTCCGATGAGAAGGTCATCCAAACATTTCGCATTATATCATCATGTCATTCACCCGCGAATTAAATCTCACTGCCACGAAGTGCTGATGCAGGAAACCGCTGAACATGAGCATCTGTGCTGTCGGCTGTGTTTGCTTGCGCGCGCGTGTGTGTTATTTATACTCGTGCAGAGCACACGTGGGGCGTCACAACACCCTTCTCCAGCTGTTCGCGTCAGTCTGCTGGAGTGGTACAAAGAATGAAGAGCATTGATTTATTGTTTCTTATGGAACATTAGTTCGTCTTTGCCTTAGAAAAATGCTATTTGAATAAGATGCCAACGGAACTGGTTTAATAAGTTACAGTGGAAAGTTATGTGTATATTATTTTTAATCTCTGCTGCCCTCTACTGAATGTTATTTGGAGAGACAGGCCGGGGCACCTCACAGACGATTATAAATCTACCTGCCATTAGGTTGATGATACACTGGGCAACTTTTGAGCAATGTTGCCGTCAACGGGCAACCAGGTGAGACAAAGAGCCCACGACCGATCTAAAATATCCAGATAGAAATGTGTTACCCATTCGTAATGGGAAAGTGCCCAAGCAACACTGCTCAAAAAAAAAAAAAGAAAAAGGTGCATGGCAAAATTGCTCAAAAAGGTGCCCTGTGTATCATCAGCCTTAGTGTCTTATAGGCTAAGCATATTATTTGAAATGGGTTAAAATCCCTTCATTAAAATATATCAGTATCAGCTAGGTACTTTAATGAATACACAGTTTAATTACATATTTTAAAGATTAAAAAATAATAAACACTACCAGTCAAAAGTTTTTGAACAGTAAGATTTTTAATGTTTTTTTTTTTAAAGAAGTCTCTTCTGCTCACCAAGTCTGCATTTATTTGATCCAAAGTACAGCAAACATAGTAAAATTTTGAGATATATATATATTTTTTTTAATGTAATTCATTCCAGTGATTTCAAAGCTGAATTTTTAGCATCATTACTCCAGTCACATGATCTTTTAGAAATGATTCTAATGTTCTGATTTGCTGCTAAAACATTTATTATTATTATTATTATTATTATTATCATTATTAGAATTTTTTCAGGTTTCTTTGATGAATAGAAAGTTCAGAAGAACAGCATTTATCCGAAATAGAAATCTTTTGTAACATTATCATCTTTATCATACATTTATCATCACTTTTGATCTAAATAAAAGTATTAATTTCTAAAATGTCTTTCCCAAAACAATTTTAATTCAGATAAATGCTGCTCTTTGGATCTCTCTATTCATTAAAGAATCCTGAAAAAAATGTATTCAACTGTTTTAAATATCGATAATAATAATAATAATAATAATAATAATAATAATAAATTGCTTCTTAAACAGCAAATCAGCATATTACACTCATCAAAAAGATGAATTTTCAGCATAATTTCTCCAGTCTTCCGTGTCACATGATCCTTCAGAAATCATTC